CCCTGTCCTTTGCCCATTTCAGGCTTCTCGGTGGGGACGCAGCTCACCAAGCAGCCGGCCTCGCGGGGGGTGGACTGGTAGTGCCTCCATACCGGCATCTGGACACCCTTCCCCCTGTCACTGGGCACCAGATCCATGACAGCAGCCTGGGGACTGAGGGGTCAGCCCTGCGGCCCTCCCACCCAGAAGCCCCCCTTGCTGGGCGATGGTTCAGGGCTCCTCCCATCAGAGTCACAGCCCTCTGAGGACACATGTCCTCCCGCGGCCCAAAGCAGGTGGGTCCTCTGAGGTCTGGGAAAGGGGAAACGGAGGCCCCGCGACGCGCCGTGTGACGAAGTGGCCCTCACCGCGCGCTTGGCACAGGTGTCCAGGGGCAGCAGCTGGAGCTCGGGCGCCAGGAGCCGCCGGCGACAGACTCCGCCCCTCTCCCACCCGTCCGCCGGCAGCGCCACCTGGCGGCCTGGCCCAGCCGCACCTTTCACAGAGGGCCTTGCTGAGCTGGCCAGCAAGGACAGACTTGGGCCTAGGACAGACCAAGGGCAGCTGGCATCTGCTTCCCTCCTGGTGTCACATATTAAGGTCACACTGGCACCTCCTCGCCCTGACCGCGGCACCTGTCACTCTCCCAGCACTGGGCCAGCCCTGCCCGCCCCCTTCGCTCTGCAGCATGCAGGCGGAGTGGTGACCCCTCACACCTACCCACCAGGAGGGGAACACGGGCCACCTCTTTGTCCCCAGAAGGGCCCAGGATGATTCCCTTGACCAGGAGCTCCTCTGAGACCTGGAGTCTGGGCTTCCTGTTCACCCCTTCAGTGCTGGGACCACCAACCAGCTCTCCCTGTTCAGGATGCCACCACCTCCCACTCCCTGCCCACCAGCAGTCGATGCCCCCACCGTGTCCAGGGCCGTGTCCGGGCACAGGTTCTTGGGCCTGATCTTAGTTGGGGTGTTTAGCTAATTGCGATGTCCAGAAATTAGGGCACCATCATATCTGCCAGCCCACAGTGCTGAGGTGGGGGTCCGTCCCCCTCCCCTGAACTAAGTGGGCTGTTGTCACTGCCCCCACCAACAGAATATGCTGGAAATGGTGCTGCCTGGCATCTGCAGTTAGGTCATGAAAGGGGTATGGCTCCCAGATTCTCTCAGGACACAGTACTGGGGCCCCAGGCGGTACCAGCAGGGAGCCCCAGGCGCATGGAGAGCCAAGTCATGAACATTTCAGCCCGTGGCCCCAGCGAGACCCCGCTGACGCAGCACTAACCACCGGACAGATGACGGCTCAGGTGCTTCCAGCTGAGACCCACCGTGGCCTGTCTGTGGCCCGCACAGACTGCGAGGAAGAGCTGCATTAAGCCGCTAAGTGGAGGGGTCGGTTATGCAGCGATAGCTGACCAATGCAGGGCCTCCGTGCCCTGCCGACACTGCCCTTGGCTGCCACCCCAGTGTCCGCTTTCTCTCAGCCCTGTCCCACACTGAAGCAGGGGGTGGACACCAGCGCAGGTGCCCGTGAGGGTGCTGGCCTGGTTGTACCTCTGCTTCAGAATCCACTGCACCTCACTGCCCAGCAGGCCCTGAGCCCCCTGCCAAGCCTCGCCCCGCTCGCCTGCCTAGCTGGAGACGGCCCAGCCCGGGGCCCAGACGTGCCAGCGTGGGTACCTGCTCCCTGTCCCTTCGAGGCTCATCATCGTCCACTTCATTCCCAAAAGGACAGGGGCTGTGTGGCCGGTGCTGTGGCCTCTGGCCCTGAGCCCGGAGGTGACGTGATGTGCTCAGAAGCCTGGTAGCCGCTGGGGAAGTTCTGTACATGAACAGCAAAGGCCCTGGGGCCTCGGCTGGTTCACAGAGCTGGGTTACAAACCTGGCCTAGCACCCATCTCTGCCGCTGGGTCGGCACTCAGGTCTCCCGGCGAGGGTTGTGTGTGAGCAGGTTCTGCTCCAAGACGTGGGTGGACAGACTTACAGTTAACACCCCCAAAGCTTTGTCATTTTAGTACAAATATTGAGGGAAAAGCCAATTTTATACAGATGAGAAGGAAAAGTTTCAGCTTCAAAATCAAATGGAAACCCCACAACATCATGGGACCAGAGGTCAGTTAACTCAGGAGGGAGTGGAAGCTCGCTCCGGGTATGTGGTCCCTGGGACAGTCCTGGTCGGCATGTGTCAGCAACGCCGGCAGTCACCATGAAGCTCACGGTCAGACACTACAGTCCCGTGACAGCTCGAGGTTTGCCGACTGCTCCCAGCCCTGGGGCTGGCATGGAGCCTGTGGGAAGGGCCCGTCCACCATGCCCCGGGGGCGGCTCCTGCCCACATTCCGGAACCCCCACGGCCCTGTGGACACTGCCCTCGGAGGCCGGGGTTCAGCGCTGAACTGTTCTTGGCTGCTGGCCGAGCACGTCTCACACAGGGAGAGTCTGACAAGCTCCTCAGAACAGGGGACCCGCTGCTCAAAACCAAATCATGGAGACCTTTGCCCAAGGCGTGTGGAAGTAACCAACAGATGGTTTTCCCAGTTGTAAGGCTTCTTTCCTGGCGCTCTGCTTATTTATTTCACTAGAGGATCGACAGCCAGCGCTCCGGCAGACCCCATCCCCATCCCAGTCCCCACGCAGAGCGCCCAGCCTTCTGGCTCCCCACCCTGCGGGGCGAGCCGGATCTGAGCGCTTGGCCCGAATCCAGTTCCCCTTGTCCCACCTCTGTAAGAGGCATGGGTCAAACGGTAAAGTCCACAGGCTGGTCTGAAAAAATGTCGCCATGCCTTCCTTCGGTCTCAAGGGCGCTGCATCAGGGCCCAGTGTCCACTCTCAGTGCTGGTGGGCACGGGGGGAGGAGGTGATCACTTAGCAGGCACCCCGCCTCCTTCCTAAACTCCTTCTCCCTCTGGAGCCTGCTCCAAGCTCAGCACCTCCAGGCCAGGCCTGGCGGGGACTGTGGAACCAGTTCCTCACCTTGCTGTGAAGGCACCTGAGGCACAGGGGCACACATCCAGGGTGCCCGATAGCCGCAGCTCCGCAGGAGGTGGCTCCAATTCTCCCACGAACACAGGTGGGCTATGCGGGGTGTTTAGCCCCGGTCCTGGGTGGGAGGCACATACTGCAGGCCACACACATAGAAGGAACCTCAGACACGTTCCGGTCGTCAGACTACCTGCTGCACCTAGCTGCAGGACAAGGTGGAGGAGACACCTGTAGCGAACACTCTCGGGTCTTCACTGAGCTGCTGGCATGGTGGGCTTTCTGGGGTGGGCTGAGGCTCAGCTCGTGGGACAGGCCGGGCGCATGCTCTGTGGGGACCCTGCTTTGGCACAGCTCCGCCCTGAGTCTGTAAGTGGCACCCATTGCTCCTGACAGGTGGGTTCGCCATGGAGCAAGACCAGTGGGGCAGGTGGCCACCAGCAGGGGCCCACCTCAGCAGGGGCCCACCTCACCCGGGCCCACCTGTCCATCAGCAGCCACTTTGCTGCGTGCGCACGGCCAGTGGGGCCTCCGGGTGCCTGGCCTTGGAAGGCCCAAGGAGGCCTGACCTGGGATAATAAGTGCCCCCTGCCTGTGGGGACTCTGGACGTTTGCTGGAGAATCTCAACAGTGGAGGGTTCAGAGCTGGGCTGTCACATGAGGATTAAGTGGTAGATGTCCAGGGGGGCAGAACTGGTTTCCTGTAACTACAGTCACTCTGTCACCCAGCGTCCTGTGGGGTACCTGACACTGCACAGCCACCAGGGGGTGTGGCCGGCCCTCCTGGAGTCTGAAGCCACCAGAGGGACCTTGTTGCCTACAATCTGTCTCACCCAGCAAACGACACTAAGTGCGACAGCCCTGTGTCATCACCCGGAACACTTCCTGCCGCACTGGTGCCTTTCTGAGCCGGGTCAGGGGACATGCGCCTGGGTAAACGGCCGGGGGGCCGGGAGCAGCAGTTTTGACACCAGTCCTGGAGCTTCCACCTCCTGTGGCCGGGGCAGCGGGCGGCCCCCGTGTGTCCCTGCAGAAAGATATCTGCTCCATCCGACAGACGTGCACCCATGTGTGGGGACGCGTTCCCCTCCACAGCTCTGACCACAGGCCTTGCTGCAGCCCGAACACACAGCGGCTCGAGGTACATGTGACAGCACCGGCCTTGTGCTTAGGGCAATGGAGAATGCCAGGGGGGCAGCACCCAGCCACAGGCCGTTACGCACTACGGCCTTGACGGACCCTGAAAACGTTACACGTTCACAGAGACAGAGGACACCAGGGCTGGGGTGGGGGGACGGGCAGCTAATGTTGAGCCTCGGTCTGGGACGGTGAAGCCACCGGAGGTGCATGGTGGTGCCAGTTGCAGGACTCTGTGACTGTACTTAATGTCACTGAACTGCACATTTAAAAAAGGTAAATTTTATGTTATAGATATTTTACCACCATAAAGAGTCAAACAAGAGAAGGTGCACGGGGTGACAGATGTAGAAAGAGAACAGTGCACTCTACAGACCAGTGACCTGGAGCACCGTTTCATAAGAAGAAAACAACTACTTTCCCGTGCGTGTGCGCACGCGTGGGCACAGAAAATCTCTCCGAAGCTACGTACCTAGGAGTGTGGCAGGGGCGACTTACTTTAAGAACTTCTGTTCTGTTTGCACAGTGTCACTTACAGTGACAAAACAAAAGCTGAAAAAAGTGAGAAGACGTTCGAGTCTAGAGATGACTCAGAGGTACAGCGTGGCTGAAGTCTGTCGCTCGGCGACGAATATCTCTTTCAAGCGCCCACCAGCAACGCCACCTGAGTGGTCACATTCGCCAGCTCTAAGCCACACAGAACCACCCAGGGGGTTCGCTTCTGTCGAACGTGGGCAAAGTGACAGCTTGGCATCGAAACATCCCAGTCCTGAAATCGAGTGCAAACCTGTACACAGCGAAGGCTCACGAGCTGATTAAGGTCAGAACACACTCGCCACGGCGCGTCTCACGACCTTGCGCACGGGCCAGGCCCAGCCCTGCGCCGCGAGAGAAACCGCAGGCACATCTACCGCCTTTAAAACAGACCTTTATTTGCTTCCGAAGCCGGCAGACCGCACTTCCGTCAGCGGAGGCTTGAGGCAGAGGCGGCAGCTCTTACTGGTCTTTGAAGCTGGCCTTCCTCTTCTCCACAAACGCCGCCATCCCTTCCTTCCGGTCCTCCTGTGGGAAGGGAGAGCCGAGCTGGCCGTTCCTGTCCCCTGTTGGGCCAGGTGGGGAGGGGCCTCTGAACGGCCCCACCAAGCAGGGCAGGCCTGGAAATGGGTATTGGTGGCCCGCACCCCACGTGATGGTCCTTCAGTAGCTGGACCCTGTGTGGCAACTGGGTCGTGCGCTAAACCACCCGCACTCAGGAGCACCCCGAGGGTCACGAGGTTGGGATCCAGGCTGAACTTCTGCATCCTCCCGTGGGTGTGCACACACGCGCACACGTGCGGACACACAGGCACACACGCACACACACATCATCACTTCAAGAGCCAAAGCCACTTTCATCTTCCTTTTACAAAACACCTGGATGTGACTGACTGATAACTGAAGAGATGAATTTTAATGACTATTAGAGAAAGGGTTTCCTTTAAGTTATTGGCAGGATCCTAGCAAACACTGCTCTGAAGCTTCAGATCACAGCATGAGAATACACTCGGATCCCATCCTGAGTAACTGGGACGACACAGGAAAATTACAGGAAAATGGTCTGCATTTAGGGGTGCAACTCGGAAGCCCTTTTGTAACGGGAAATCACCGTTTCTGTCCTTTCGAGCTTCCACACCCTGGACTCAGTCACAAAGACCGATGCTCACTGATGGACACACCCGACCCAGCTACTGAGCAAAGGGGAACGGTGTTAAAAGTCACAAGGACGTCCTGGCAACGTCTCGGCGGGAGCACGTGACCTTATGGGAATGAATGTCGTCCACTCACCGTAGCAAAGGTGGAGTAAAAGAGTTTCTTCTCCAACTTAGTTCCCTCTGTCAGCGCCATTTCAAAAGCTGGAAAAGGAGCCCGGCCGTTACGAAGGGCGGCGTGCAGAGCTCCCCTCGCCCAGCGGCCCCTCGGCCACCCTCCCGTGAGGGCCTCACCTGCATTCACCGCCTCTTTAGCCATCACTGCTATAAGTTTAGAATTGCTGGCAATTTTTTCTGCACACTGGATGGCCTCTTCAAGCAGCGTCTCAACAGGAAAAATTTTGCTAACAAGACCTAAAACACAAAAAGGTGAATGACGCGTCGAAACGGCACTGGTTAATGTTGCGCTCTGCGCGATGGCGATGCTCTGCCAGCAGAGGCGCTGCGGCATCAACGAGGGGCTGTGGCCACAGAGGCGACGGTCTGCACTGTCCCCAGGGCTGGCCAACTCTGACAGGTGCCGGCCGCTGAGGGGCAGGGAGAGGCTGTGTCTGCAGAGGGGCTCGGGGATCCCCCGTTGCCTGGTTGAGCTTTGGGAGATTCGATGGTTTAGAACCTTCTTAGCCTTTGCGTGTTTCAGCTCCTCTTCTATACATATGACAGGTCAAATAAAAGAGGCAGTGGTCCCCTGCGTTCTTGGGACACCTGAAAGCACTGTGCTGATCACCCTCCCCTCTCCACTCCCCATGGGGCAACTCCATGGAGCGACCTCAGCCTGTACCTGCTTGCTTGGCATCCTGGGCTGAGATCCGGTCACCAGTGAGAACCATCTCCATGGCCAGAGACTTTCCGACGGCGCGGGTCAGCCTCTGGGTGCCCCCCATACCTGCAGGGGTAGAGGGCTGCTGGTCACAGTTGGCTCTGTGGCTGGTTGTAGCCAAGATGCCGCAGACGCGGGGCCGACAAGCTGAGAAGCTGAAGACGGGTCTCTCGGGCGGGGCGGGTGTGCAGAAGTGAGGTGGCGGCCGTAGGTGGGGAAGCGGGACACCTGAGAAACCGGGGCGGGGGGTGGATCCGGCCCATGTTCGGGCCCACCCCGGCACCGCGGCCCCCTGCATCAGCACCTGTCGTGCTGGAGTCAGACCCTGGACAGATGCACGGAGCCTGCAGCTCCCGGCCTCAGACCCAGCTGCTCCCCGCAGGGTCGGGGCCGCTCTGGATATGCCCTTCTCTCCCAGCACTCCGCGGCTGTCTGGCCCCAGTAAGCTCCCCAACATGTCTGCACACCCTCCCGCCAGCTGGAGAGAGCACCGCCTGTCCGGACATGTGCCTCACACTGAACCGTGGGTGCCAGGGTGAGCCAAGGAGGCCACCTGATGGAGACTCCCACAGTCCAGCAGACTCAGGCACTGCCTGAGTGAAGCGGAGACCTAGGGTGTTGGGATGGGAAGAGCCCAGTGGTCAGCGGAGTTCATGCAGATCCTCCGGGGCCCGCAGATAATTCGACATGGCCTGCTGCCCGCCCAGTGGCTCAGGAGCCTGGGCTCCAGGCTCCACACGCACCAGGGCAGACAAGAGTCTGGAGCCCTCATCGGGTGGGCCCCAGGGGGCAGAGGCGCGGGTCTGCACTGTTTGCCCATCCTTCCCATTGACCTCCATGTGGGGATCAGATTTCCTGCTCTGTTGAACTTCGGTGAGGCCATGGGACTTGCTCTGGCCACTGAAACACCAGCAGATGTGACATGTGTCATCTCTGGGCATGAGCTCTCAGTGCTGGCCCTTGGTTACCATGTTCTCTGTTTTGAGCTTCTGACATACAAGGACCTAAGCCATTGTGCGGTCAGCCCTTCCTGGCAGCATTTGACACACGATCTGGCCATCACCCGAGGCGCCAGTACAGCTCCGTGGCCCCGGGCCACTCTGAGTGTGACTGTGTCCACTTACACTAAGCGGGCTGGTCAGCAGAGGAAGCAATGGGCCCAGACACGTCCTTCCTCTGATGCCAGCATGCTCTGTCTAGCCTTGGGAAAGTGTCCAAGACGTGGGCAGACTCTGGGGAGAGACCTGAAGACTGTGCTAAAGGTGGCCCTTTACCTGGGATTGTCCCTAGCAGGATTTCTGGCTGCGCAAACTGGGCTTTCTCTCCAGCATAGATGATGTCGCACATCATAGCAAGTTCACAGCCACCACCAAGCTGTAAAACAACATGAGGTGTCACCAGGGAAACACAGACAGATCACTCTATTTGCTTATTTAAATTTTCTATTAAAATTAAACACAGTCTGGGGGAAAGATTAATACAGAGGCACAAAGTTAGTTAAGTGTCCCCATGAATGACCCACGAATGGTTGATACCGCTCAAGTCTTTCTGTAAAGGGCCAGACGGCAAACGTGTTCGGCTTTGTGTCCCACGGGCTCTGCTGTGGAGGCTCAAAGGCAGCTGCAAGGCGCAAGCGGACCTCCGGGCTCCAATCAGCTTTATTTGCTGACCCCCAAGGGAACTTTATTAAATAATCACAACCGACACACCCTCATCACTTCTCTACAGGCTTCCGCCAGCCCAACACCTCCAAATAGTCCACATGCCCACAAGAGACCCCGAGGCCCCACAGAAGAGACTCAGAGCTTTCGACGACAGTGGAAGAGGTTACTGTACAGGTGCAGCGCTGGTCAGAAAGTCGCTAACACTGCACAGAAAAGCCAACACGTGCGTCCTGGACATTGGAGAGGGGAAAAACACTCTGGGGAGTCCCAGGGGCCAGGGGTCCACAGACGAAAGCAGGTGCTGAAACGGCTCCTCTCCTCACAGTCCCTGGCTGTCTAACGGCACTGAGTGGGAAGGCCGGCTGTCTGGGGAACTTGGCTTAGGCCTTTTCAAAACAAGAATCAGTCCCATGTCACACGCACAAGCACAATTCTGTAAAGAACTGAGCGAGAGGGCGGCGCAGGCTGACACTCACAGCATAACCATTGACGGCAGCTATGACGGGCTTCTTGACCTGTGAGAGGTAGTCCCAGAAGCTCAGGAACCTGGTGGAATAGCAGTCCTGGAACGTTAGGCTCTGCATCTCCTTGATATCGGCTCCAGCTGGCACGAGAGAGTCCCAGTTACCAGGGCGCAGATACCCCGCTGTGGCCGGGACCCCCAAACCCTGAGTATGCACTGTGTGCAGGCACTGGGATGTTGGGAGTGCCAGCGTGGGGCCTGGCCTATGTGTCGATGGCCATGTGGACACACAGCTGGACAGCAGGGACAGTGGCAATACACTGTGACACGTGTCCAAGGAGGGGATGCAGAGGGACTACGGGACAGGAAACAGACTTGAGGGGGACTCAGAGGAGACTGGGCTTATTCCTTAGTTCCTTGAGCCCTCAACACACAATACCTGATGGTCGAGGACCCGAATCCCTTTGAATAAACTTATCTGGCTGGCAGAGCACACCTAGTGTGACACATACAAAGCAGCTCATCCCAGCAGTTCCCTAGCCCATCCCCACTTTATGTGTATATGACCCCAAGTTGTACTGGCTTTTATTACCCTACCTTGGAGATGTACGTGTGTGTGCGACACCATGGACCATGGGCATGGCCACGGTCAGACCGCCCCTCGCACAGCCCATGACCTGCCCCCACGCTGCCCACCTGCAAACACCTTCTCCCCACCCGTGAGGACGATGGCCCCCACGGCCGGGTCATCGTCGAAGGCCTGTAGTGCCTCGTTGAGCTCGGTGACCAGGTCAGTGCAGAGTGCGTTGAGCGCCTTGGGGCGGTT